AGGGCTTCGGGCTGGGTGCATTTGGTTGATTCGTACGAATAAGCGGTTATCGGAGGGAGTCTTGTTTGTTAGGGCAATGGTTGGAGTAGAGGCTTTCTGAATGTAGGAGGGCTTGGGGCCTATAGGCATTGTGGGTGTACTTGTGTGAGTGGTGGTCGGGGGGGAAGGAGGGGAAAGGGGGGTGACAGGCGGAGTAGTAGCTCCCCTAGGGGGGGGATGACCAGTAACAAAGGTGTCGAAGTGCTGTTCGATGGTTGCCTTAAACTCAAGGCAAATGGAGGTGAGGATTTTTTTTGTAACTCGGTGGGAGAGCGCGGACTTCCTCAGAGCCTAGGTAGGTATCTAGGAGTTGGGTAACTGGGTTGAAGATGGATTGAGCATCGTTGACCTTATTGAGAAGGTTGCTGGCCTTGTCGGAAAGTGTTTTAGAGAGGTTTGGGGGGCTTGGGGTAGCCATCGTTTTGTCAGATGGAACAAGAGTAGCGAGTTTTCCTGTGATTAAATACAAACGGGGCATGCCACGTGACCCGAAGGTGTGAGGCGTCACAATTATTGAACAAGAGTAGAGAGTTTTCCTGTGATTAAATACAAACGGGGCATGCCACGTGACCCGAAGGTGTGAGGCGTCACACATACCAACTCTAACTCCAAGTCATATTAAAAAATGTGATATATAAGATATAAGATTTAAGTTTATCCTAACTCTCATATCACTGGTTTTGACTAGATACCACAGGCTAGATACATATTTATTTCTCACCCTTCCATATCCTCTCTACTTCTCTTTGAACCCGCAGATGCAGATACAGATACGAAGATCCTCTCATCTTTAATCTCCTGTTCATTTTCTTCTTCTTCCCCATCATTTCCATCATTCCCATTCCTCCCATCATGACCTCCCTCCTTTATCCACTTTCCTCCTTTCCCAAGCGCACTTACAATTTCAGGGGGTTCAAAAACGCCATTTTTTAATTTCCACCCCGCTCTCTGCATCCTCTCCCACTCCTTCCCAATACGAAATCTAACCAAATCACCCGCCGCATTCGCATCTTCTTCACTATCATGACCATCGACCTTTCCCTCGGTATAGGTAACCATTTGAATATTTCGATTTAGCAAAGACTGCATGAGCATTTTCAGACCATTGCGAAAGGGTAAACCTGCTTTATGAGGGAAGAGTAAAGCCGTGTCTATGATTGTGGGATGGATGAATCGGGTAGCGTTGAGATCGTTTTCGAGACCGTGACCGATGATGGGGGTGGAGGGGGTGAGGAAGGAAAAGAGGAGGCTTCGCGCTATGGCGGGGGAATCGACGATTCGGAGTTTGCCTTTGCTTTCGGCGAGGAGTTGGGAGCCTGGGAATGAGTAGGGAACTGCGGAGGTGATGTCTTGGGGGTAGATGCCTGAATAGCGTGAATTGAGATCGAGGATTTCGCCATAAGGACGGACGAGGATATCGAGGAGAGATGAGCCCGAGGGCCAGGAGGTGGCTGTTAAGCGGATGAGTTCGAGGCCGTGGACTGTGTAACCCATCTCGCAATCGATACAGATGGGTTGGGTAGGAATAGAAGAGTTTGCTTCATTTTCAGGAGTTTTTTCGAAATTTAAGACCGTGGCTAAACGTTTCGCTTCGCTCACTTTGAAAACGTGATGTTCAGCTGTGGTACATCCGGGAAGTGTCTCCAATATTTTGATCACAGCAACGCCATTTCTTTTCCCGTTTGGCTTTGGGATCAAGGGAAGAACGATCTTTCTTATAGGGTTTTCCGAAGTGGTAAGTGCAGCAACCACCAGATGCGAGTATACCATCTTCTTCGCGGCGACCAGGAAATACCTGGAAACGGGTTTTACAACGATCGCAAACTTCCCAACCTTTGGATGCCTCTATACCGATCTTTGCCTTTTCAATTTCTGCATCGGTGGGAATATTCGTGACATATCCGTGTTGTGATAATCCGTGTACGGGAGTATACAATCTTGGGAGTAGGGCCAATTCTTCTTCTGAGCTAAGACCTGTCTCGATAGGCTTTGGTGGTTCGTCAGGTTTCGTGACTGGTGTGTCTGACACAGGTATCCTTGAAGCTTTCTCCTTAGCGACCTCCCTAGCTCTCTCTTCTTTCCATTGCGCAACGGTCATTCTTTTGTACACCATAATCTTGTTCTTGACAACATTAGAATATATGCTAGGTGTTTCACAAGCAGCCTCTTCCATGTCTAATACCCTTGTGATCAATCCTTGATCTGAAAACACAAGTTCCTCTTCTTCATCGTTTGCATCTTTAGATAACTCAGAATTGAGGCGTTTCAACTGGTCATGTAGAGCTTGCACAAGTCTAAGCCTGATATTATGAACAGCTGGTGCAGTCTTACGTGCACGTGGATTGAGAGGTTCACTCTTCTCGGGTTTCTTGACTGGGGTTGTTGTCACGTTTTGAACTTTTTGTGCGACCGACGCGTTTTGTTTTGGGGTGCATCCTTGTGAAGAGAGGAAGGTGTTGTGATATAGAACTTTCGTTCTGAGACTTGCGACGTAATGTGGAGGAGAATCCACGTCGAGCTGTGACGTGGGTTTGATGCTT